CCATAAAAGGCTATTAGCCAGGGGATAAAATGGTGTCCTTGGCCTCTGTTTGTCAGAGGCTGGAGAGGGAGGGCAGGAGACAAATCGCTTGGTCATTGTTTTCGGTCCACCCTCTCGGGGGCACCTGGTGCTGGCCACTGTCGGTAGACAGTATACTGGGCTAGATGGACCTTTGGTCTGACCCAGTACGGCCGTTCTTATGTTCTAAGGTGGCAGGGGGCTCCCTGGGAATGGGGCTGGAACACACTGGCTGCTGGCCTCACCCCTGGGGACTATAGAATAGTCAACTGACTGCTAAAAAGTCATGTGGTTAGTTGACTATTACTCGCTACTTAACATCTCTACTTTAGATATGTCCATAGAGTAAGAAAGTGCTGCTGTCAGACAACTCAGACATATGAGGGATAGTCCTTTATCAAAGCTGTTGTTAGGTGTTGATGCCTTTGCTCTGCTGTTGAAGTTAACCATTAAATGCTTGTGTGATCCCATCCTCCAGGTGACTATGGAGCAGCTATATGGGGGATTTCACTCACTCCCTGAAGTCGTTGGTGGATCAGACATGCTAGCCCAGCTTCCATTCCTGCAGAGGGTTACAATTATATGCTTCCTCAGTGGCCCATTTGTTTAGCAGCAGTCTTTCCCTTAAAATTTTGCATGTTTGGTAACTAGCTTATCTGGTTACTTCCCCAGTTTTTGAGACTCTGAGATTCAAAGTACTGCTACCATTTGAGTAGTAGTCTTGAAATAGAAGAATTGGGGCAGGCAGAAGAGGAGATACTCGTTTTAGTATGCTTCTAATCAGTAAAAGTTAAATGTCATGTGAGTGACGTTTAGATAACCGTTACCTGATGAGCTGTCTATTAGTTTGAGTTTCAGAAGCCAAAATTTCATTGGTAATGAGTGACACTTTAGATCTGTTGGTCTCAATCTTGAATATACTTACCCTATTTCAGCATTAGAGAATTTAATTTTGCTTATGTTAAACATTTATGCTGCACATTGTTTTTAAAGTTGTTACTTAATTCATTAGTTAATTTACCTTTGAAATAATGGTATTGATGGCTCTAGTTTAACCCCCTACTCAAAGTAGGACCCACCCCAACTAAAAATCATCCCAGCCAGGGCTTTGTCAAGCCAGGCCTTATAAACCTTTAAGGATGGATATTCCACCTTCTCCCTGAGTAACCCATGCTAGTGCTTCACCACCCTCTTAGTGAAATAATGTTTCCTAATATACTACCTGGACCTCCCACACTGCAACATGAGACCATTTCTCCTTGTTCTATCATCTGCTACTACTGAGAAAAAACTAGCTTCATCCTCCTTGGAACCCCCTTTAAGGTAGTTGAAGGCTGTTATAAAGTCCCCACCTTCATTGTTCTTTTCTGCAATCTAAATAAGTCCAGTTCCCTCAGCTTCTCCTCAGGTTCCTTAAGTTATGCACCTCAGACCCTTAATGATATTTGTTGCCCTCCCCTGGCTTTCTCCAATTTGTCCACATTCTTTCTGTGGTGAGGCCCCAAACTAGACACAATACTCCAGATGTGTCTTCACAAGTGCCAAGTAGAGGGGAATAACAACTTCCTATTAATGCTCCTGTTAATGCAGCCCAGTACACTGTTAGCCTTCTTGGTAACAAGGGCAAACTGTTGACTCATATCCAGCTTCATATCCACTGTAATCCTCAAGTTCTTTTCTGCAGAACTGCCACTTAGCCAGTTGGTCCCCAGCCTGTAGCAGTGTATTGGATTCTTCTATCTAAAGTGAAGAACTCTGCATGTGTCCTTGTTGAACTTTATCCGATTTCTTTCAGTTCAGTCCTCAAATTTGTTTTGGTCTCTATCCTCCAGGGTATGTACCTCTTTCCACCCCTCCACCCCAGATTTAGTGACATCTACCAACTGCATGAGCCTGCAGTCCATCCCATTATCTAGATCATTAATAAAGATGTTGAGGAAAAACCAACCCTAGGACTCATCCCCGGGGCACTCTGCTTGATATCAGCTGCCTACTAGAAATGGAGCTGGAAACTAGACAAAGCTAGTTGTTTAACAAAGTTCAACAATCACCAAGCTTACAGTAAGTTTCTGAACTTACAAAGTGGCTGATAGTGATAAAGTTACAAAGCTCAACAATCTTAAAACAAGTTGCAGAATTTAAAAGGCAAGGTAGCTGAAAGTTACAAAGAAACAATTTCAAAGCTCAAAGGTTACAAAGATACCTTCCAAAACACAGCAACTGTTTTCTTCTTAATCATCCACAAATCATCAGTAATAAAGTGACTTAGAAGACAACTGCCCCTCCTCAAACAGTATCCACAGCAATACAGTAAGCAGCATGTTTTGTCGTTCTCTAAGTCATGTGTTGGCAGGACCTTACAGTTGAATGCATTTCCAGAAAATTTATGTGTAAATCAAGTAATAGCTAGGGCAAAGGCTTTGTACAACACTTCCTATCATATGTTATAGTCTAATTTTTCCTAGTATATGCTAGTCTTATGGAATTTCATGCTTTTGTTTTTGTACAGGGCACTATCAGTGGTACAAACAAAGATATTCCTGTTCTTCAGTGCCATGGGGACTGTGACCCATTGGTTCCTCTAATGTTTGGTTCTCTCACTGTTGAGAAGCTAAAGAATCTGATCAATCCAGCTAATGTAACCTTCAAGACTTACTCAGGCATGATGCATAGCTCATGTATTGAGGTAATGTCCTAAATGAAAACAAGAATGATTTTCAGATAATTCTTCCTTTAAATATTCTTTTAAGGCGGGAAAAAATGTGAACCTCAGTGCTCATTTTCAAGAACAAATGCTTTTTGAATGACTAATAACTTGAGGATGCTGCTTCAATTAATAATCATTGGAAGCTTAACAAATTGTGAGGCCAAGAGTAATTATTAACTAACAGTAATTTCCTTTAAAATAGTTTCAGTATCAGTGAATTAATAAAATGAAATTTGAAAATGCCCCTTTTTCTTTAATAGAAGAAATGAAAACTATACAAAACAAAATGAGTTGCTAAATTCTCTACAGTAAAGTTAAAAAAATGCCCAAACTCATGGGCCTTCCTTTCTTCTAGCTTCCTCTCCTTTCCTTCAGGTTATTAGGATTTTTCTTCCCAGAATGATTTCCAGATTTTGTTTACATGGTTTCAAATGAATTGGAAGAGGGGTTGGAATTCTCACAATGTAGACACTATATTAATTCTGGGGGCAAGAATTAAGGGTAATAAATCAAAGAATGTTCACCTCAAACAAAAACAAAAGAGGAGGAGACCTTTATAAAGACTTCACTGCTCTGCTCAGGCCACTACAAATTTTTCTTTTACTCACTGGCAGAAGCAGAGCTACCACAAGGTCACTGAGTCTGTCCTATTTCCCAGCTATCTAATTTTACTCAGCCAGTTATTAATATGGTCTTAACCCTATTCCAGGGCCATACTGAGTACCAGTGTGGTGATGTTTCCCAATAGGCCAATGGGCTGTGTCTAGACTGCATCCCTTTTCCGTAAAAGGGATGCAAATTAGACACATCGCAATTGCAAATGAAGCGGGGATTTAAATCCCCCCCCGCTTCATTTGCATAAACATGGCTGCCGCTTATTTCCCGGCTTGGAGCTTTGCCAGCAAAAAGCGATCGCTTACTTTTTTTGTAAGCGGAATAAGGGATCTTTCGGAAAAGGCTTTATTTTCCGAAAGATCCCCGTCTAGACTTGCGCTTTTTGCCAGCAAAGCTCCGATCTGGGGAAAAAAGCGGCAGCCATGTTTATGCAAATGAAGCAGGGGGGATTTAAATCCCTGCTTCATTTGCAATTGCGATGTGTCTAATTTGCATCCCTTTTACGGAAAGGGGATGCAGTCTAGACACAGCCATGGGGAATACAATGTTAATTGTCTTAGCTCTTGATGGATAACTTCACTAATCAAGGTTGCCTTTGTTAAAATAGTGTCTGATGTTAGTAAAGAAAACTCTTGCTATCTCATACATTCTTTCCTCCCAAAAATGGATTAACATCACAGAAACAGAGGGGACTCCAGTGTTTGTCACTAGACCTATGTTTATAGCTCATCACAATTCTACGATCGCTTTCATTTAGTGTAAATTGATCTCAAAAGCTGACTCAAGAAACAGGCTTTAAGAAATTAATGAGTAACAGAGTCTGGCATTCTTCAGGTCACATGGTTGTCTATAGCCACATTGAATAACTAGCATCTCTCAGTACTTTGTGGAGGAAAGATCTGTTTTTTGTCCTTGACTCTGTCTCCTCTCAGTAAAGTAATTCAGAGAGTATTATTCTCTAAATGAAGTAATCTGTCTGAGTTTAGTTGAATTATGCAGAGTGAAAAGAATTAGAGGTTTAAGAAATCTAATTATATGCTCAGTTTGTTGCTCAGTTGCATTTAGTAACTGCAGTGTTGAAGTACCAGTTTAGTGAGAGAGCTAACTGCTGAAAGATTTTAGTTGAACACTTGACTAATGCATAATTTTGTTCCTGAACAGGAAATGATGGATGTAAAGGAATTTGTTGACAAACATTTACCGCCAGTTGATTGACAAGATTTGAGATGCCTTCTATATAAAAACACCAGCATCAACTGTGGTAGAATGTTAATCTGTTCACATGCCCAATTGAAAAACTTTATTTCTACACTTGCAGTTTTACTACTGGTATATTGTAAATGCATACCAAGAAAAGGACTAAGTAGCATATTTCACAAAAAATGGTAATCTTTCAAGTAAATCATATGGACTGGATTATAAGAATGAAACAGCTAGATAGCATGTCAGAATGTATTTGAGTGCTATTTTAAGGTGTTTCTGATTTTTGCACCATTTTTAAAGCAGTCATATAGCTAATTCAACAATCATTTTGGTTAATGAGCAGTTTAAATAATGACCAAATTGGTATGCTTGAGATATGATGTATTCTTAATACTTGTTGAAAGTATATTGAGACATCCTGTCATATATCTTGTACATAAAGTATGCAACATGTAAAACACAAGAGGCATGTAATGGTGGAATTAGTGAGGATAAAGCTTTAAATGATTTAAACATGGGTACTGCATGTGAGAGGCTATTTCTCTTACCTACAAATTAATACATACCAGTGACTCTCATTATAGCATTTATTCCAATCTAGTTTTTAACCTTAAGGTTGCCTTTTTAAAAAAGTATCTGATGTCAGGAAAGAAAACACTCACTATCTCCCTAAAAATGGGTTGACAACACAGAAACTGAGAGGCCCCAGGTGTATGTAATTAGACCAGAATTAACAGCTCTTTGCAGTTCAGTGATAGCTTACATTTATTAGTGTAAATTGATCTCAAAAGCTGACTCATGAAACAGCTTTTGAAAAATACATAGAACATTTCCATAGTATAATTTTAAGATTCTTGCTTTCATGTTGCATATTTCTCCCACACTTGAACCCTCATGGGTTTAGTCTTGTGTATCTTGCTAATTTTTTGTAGAAATATTGACAATGTGTTTTACATAGGCAATTTAAGTATCTTGTTTTGTTTTATTATATTTTATTTTGCTTTGTTCCAGAGTAATCAACTGGAAAAGCAATGCAGATGTTGCACACAAATTATGGGTTTTGTTGAACAGGCTCATCTACAACACTGGTATTAGCTGATTTTTTTTTATTTCCTAAATGCTGTAGTGTGAATGTAATATGGAACTGAAATGGTTTAGCCATTATAGTGAGGAACTACCAGCTGTTTTTATTTATCTTTACTGCATGTTCATCTTGGGACTTCAGCTTGTCTAATAGGAAAATGACATGTATGACTTTCAACATGTAGATGTGCTTTAGTCTTCTCTAATACCCTGGAATATTCTAAGAATATGAAAATGGGTCTTAACAAATGTCTGAAACAAAGAATTCTTGCTCTTGAAAGTTATAATTTTGGGAATTCATGGAAGTACAGCAATAAATTTACATGGTGTCCTGCTAATAGAAAACCAGAAATGAGAGAGCTGTTTGCAGAAAGATTAACTGGATGATCAATATAGGAATCCTTCCTAGCTTACTTGATAGTATTTTGATCAATCAAGTTTTAAATGTCTGATGTTGCAGTGTACCCAACGCAAACTTATTTCAGATAGCTGAAATGTGGAAAAGAAAAATTCAGGCTATTAGAAGACTCTCATGCCTGCTTCTTGGCCAATACGCACGTTTTAACTTTAAATGCTTTCTCGTAAGTCACTCCTCTTGTCCCTAACCACTCTTCTCTAGACATTCTCTAGTTCATTTTTCCTGGTGATGTGGTGCCCAGAGGAGTACCATTTTCCTGTTTTCATCACCATAAAATTGTACTGAGAAGAGTTATACCTCTTAGCTTAAAGCCTTGGTCCCAAAACTATACCGGCTCCTGTTACAGTCATTTCACATTGCAAACTCGTGTAACTTGCTTACCACTATAATCACTAATTTTTACATTGTAATTGCTGCTTGGCTCTTTTCCTGTCATGTGTTGAATGACTTCTCTATAAACTTGTGTCCTCAAAGATTATCTGTACATGTTTCTGATCTCCAAGTCCTTCCCTGTTATTTCCCTGTATTGCTTACGATACCTTAAGTTTAGAATGTTAACTTCATGAACGTGCTGTTTTTCCTCGTCCAGATCATTAACAAAGATATTAAAATGAGACTAGTTTTAGCTCTGTTCCCTGTTTGAATCCCACAGCATACCTCTCCCAACATGATATAAAAAAAATGGAAGTCATATAAAAAATGGAAAGTAGGACAAATTACAAAGGATGAATATATAGGCAAACAGCACAGGAATGAAGGGGCAAGATTAGAAAAGCAAAGGCACAGAATGAGCTCAAACTAGCTACGGGAATAAAGGGAAACAAGAAGACTTTTTATAAATACATTAGAAGCAAGAGGAAGACCAAGGAGAGGGTAGGCCCACTGGTCAGTGAGGAGGGAGAAACAGTAACAGGAAACTTGGAAATGGCAGAGATGCTCAATGAACTTCTTTGTTTCGGTCTTCATCGAGAAGTCTGTAGGAATGCCTAACATAGTGAATGCTAGTGGGAAGGGGGTAGGTTTAGAAGGTAAAATAAAAAAAGAACAAGTTAAAAATCACCTAGAAAAGTGAGATGCCTGCAAGTCACCAGGGCCTGATGAAATGCATCCTAGAATACTCAAGGAGCTGATAGCTAGAGGCTCAGATACCTCCTCTATCATCTTTGGAAACTCATGGGAGACAGGAGAGATTCCAGAGGACTGGAAAAGGGCAAATATAGTGCCCATCTATAAAAAGGAAAATAAGAACAACCCAGGAAACTACAGACCAGTTAGTTTAACTTCTGTGCCAGGGAAGATAATGGAGCAAGTAATTAAGGAAATCATCTGTAAACACTTGGAAAATAATAAGGTGATAGGGAACAGCCAGCATGGATTTATAAAGAACAAATCATGTCAAACCAATCGGATAGCTTTCTTTGATAGGATAACGAGTCTTGTGGATAAGGGAGAAGTGGTGGATGTGGTATACCTAGACTTTATTAAGGTGTTTGATACAGTCTCACTTGATATTTTTATCAATAAACTAGGTAAATACAACTTAGATGGGGCTACTATAAGGTGGGTGCATAACTGGCTGGATAACC